GCTAATGAGCAACAGGTTACTAAAAGCACGCGTCCCTCCCAGATACAGCCACAACACGAGTTATTTAAGTCAGGGTCTGCAAACGGGGGTCTCGGACCCCAGAGGCCCCAGACCTGCAGGAGTTCAGTGGCACGTAACCCCCCAGCTGACCCCGCTGTCGGGAGTCGAAGCCGCGGCCCCCCGGCCCGGCCCCGAAGCCAGGGCCGGGCCACGGGCTGGTGGCAGGAGCCGCGGCCCCGAGTCGGCTGCAGCTTTCGCCTCTGCCCCAGACCCCCCGTGCGGCAGAGGGGAAACCCACAAAGCCGCAATTTTCAAACCTAATTGTAGACTTTTAAATAGAGCAACAAAAAATAGCACAGTTGGCAGCAGTGTGTTGTTCTCATAAGTCACACTGACATGGGGCACCACAGGTGGGTAGGACATTTAAAGACCCGTTTGCTTACAGACACTGCGCCCCACACGCCCTGGGTCCTGCTGCTGCAGACCACAGTGGTGTCTGGCAGCGTCACAGGTTTCCTGGCATCCAGGAGGGCAGTGCCCGACCTCGTGATGCTGCAGCCTCTTCCAAACGCCGGCAGGCGGGAAGCTGAAGGACTCGCCTCTCCTCCGAGTTTCCTGCCTCCCCTTTTTACAACAGAAATTACATTTGTGTGTTTATGAGAGACAACGCCAAAATGTCATTCCAATTCCCTGGCACCATCCACAAAACCAAAACTCCAATTTAGCTGCTTGTTTTATGTCTTCCATTCCTCCTGAAAAACACAGTTGCTTGCTGGGACAGCAATGGCTTCAGTTTAGCAGGTTTATTAAAACTCCTGCTGCTGCAGACAAAGTAAAGGGATGAGGCACCACGGACTACTGGCAATGAAGAACGCTCATTTTGAAGCCAAAGAAAAGATCTCCCTTCCAGAGAGACACCACTTCTTCATTAAACCTCCATCCAGGGCACTGCAGGACGGGGCATAATTAAATCCACTGTCACAACACACAATTCAGTCTCACACTGGGGAATAAGGCGGCACGGTTATTTCGGACATGGCAATGCTCTGTCTCAAGCAGACAATTTCCTGTGTTCCCTACTTGGAAGAAGCTGCAAACTTCTTCCCTTGTGCCACAGCAGGAGGTAAAATGGGAAACCTCACATGCCCAGCTGAGGGGGCCGGTGGTGCATCCCTCACCCAGGGTCTGCCTCTGCCAGGACACGGGACACTTCATGGAGATGGAGACTCGCCGACAGCAGACAAGTCAGCCCTCTGCAGTGACACACTTGCATCTCCATTTACTGCCTGCCTGTTAGCAACAGAAACACCTTGAGTCTCCTCCTGCACCACCAACGTGACTCACGCTGGAAGCTCCAGGGAAATTTGCCCAATTGAGTTTTCCTCCTCTCCTTTTCTCGCTAGCAGGCCGTGCCTGTCTGCAGGAGCCGGCAGGGATGCCGGCTGCTCACTTCCACCGCCCAGGCGACGCTGCAGGCAGGATGCTGGGGCAGGGGACCCCGGTGCCCGCGCTGCCTGCACCGCTCCCTGATCCACCTGCAGGTCCCCCCTTTGCAGGAGCTCCGCAATACCCTAAATACCTGCACAGCTCCGCAGGACTCACTGATGGGAGACTGTTTCTCTATCCAGGCAATCAGCACGCCATCTCCAGGTCCTACATTTCCCAGGAAAGCTTCTGCTGGGAAAGAGGAGACAATACCAGAGTGGCCACTCGCTCCCTGTGTTTCGCATCTACAACCCAAGCTCACGTTACCACGTCTGCTCAACATCAGTGTCAAGGGCTGGCAGGGAGCAGGGAAACCCCTCGGAGCCTGTCGCGGTGGTAGCCATGCTGAAGAACCAGGGAGAGTGGGTTCTTCCTGATTTCCACTGCTGATTCCCCTGCAGCTCTGCATCCCCCACCCAAACCACCCGCCTTTCAAGCCACATGTGAAGCCAGGGGAGATGGAGAGGAGCTGCCGGCGGAGCCACCACTGAAACGCAGCCACCCGGAGCCG